GAGAATAATGGAAGCCATCTGATGACGATAAAATATGCCTCTGAATAGTGATGCTGTTTCCTTTGTTTTCAATATACAATATTAATGTATTACTCAGTTCTCATGGTATATCTTGATCTAAGGCACAATTCAATGGCAGCAGCCTCTGGTTTCCCACTTTGCACATACAAAGGCACAGGCAGGTTTAAAAAGTTGGGAACAGTACAGAATTCCTGGAGTAAAATATAATTAAAATGTTAATCCTAGCAATAGATTGTACTGGGTTGTGTAGAGGTGGACTGAGAAATACCCTTTGCCCTGAAAAATATTGATAAGCAGGTGGAGCACACAAGCAGCTCCTCCACTTGCAGGTCTTCTTACATATACATGCACTTGCACACACATGCCTACTGTTTTGTTTGTTTGGTTGGTTGGTTTTGTTTTTTAATTTATATTTTTTCTTTTTAGAGTAGATAGTTAAATGTGCTGCTGCACTCAGAAATATACCCCTTCATCCTATTCACCACAAGGAGCACTGTGTGGACAACCTGAACATAATTTAATTTTAAAGCAAGGGGAAATAATATTTTACACAACAAAAATAAATGCTTTCCTTCACAATTACATGTGAACTCTTCCTCTTCAGAAATCCTTTTTTTCCCTAGCATAACAGGTGGAAATCAATTTACAGGTGTTATTTTCTAGGTCTGGTTCAGCTTTGTCACATGCTTTTTTATTGTTGCAAGGCAGAGCAGAGCAAACAAATGAAGTTTTTGGAGAGGCTTTGAGTAAAACATACCTTCTCCAAAGTGGCTCAACCCAGACCCAACATTTAAACACCTTTCTGAAGACCTGATTCAAATCAAGTCCTGGTGAAGGCACTTTATGGACTCCTAAGGAGTCCATATGAACTTAGACTGGCAGTCATTACCCTACTCTCTCTACATCCTTCCAAAACTGGAACTACTTTACCTGATATCAGAGGATCACCTGGTGCAAATTCTTCACCTGATCATGTCCTTTTTCTTTTAACAAGGAAAGGAACATTGTGTCACGACACTGATTCAGTCAGGGTAGCTACCACCCTACACCCTTTGCTACAATCCAGTGCAGCAAAGCAGGGCCTATGCCCTGTGGGGTCTATGAAGTCAAGCCTGGGACACTAGAGACAAAGAGTTTCAGCCAGTTTTGACCTTCACTCGTCCGTTGTAAAATAAGAGAAATAGATTTGATCTTAATTTTCATGTCATGAGTTTGATGTTTCATAAAACACATTGTGATGTTGAGTCTTTCTGTTGCCAAGTGAAAGCAGCCTTAAAGGTACAGTGCTAATACCCTGTTCTTTATAACATTTTCTTTAAGTCTGGCACTGAACATAGTGTGAACAGCTGCAGTGGCAGTAAGAGTCATAACAGTGATTGTGCCAGCTTTCCCTTTTGTGATTTCTCCTTTTTTTCGTTATTGTTGAGTCTTGAATTACTAAGCTTTGTTCCAGACTCAAAATTGCAAGTAGTTCTCCTCTCTTCTCTCCCTGACAGGTCTCAGATGTAATCACAGAAAAGAAATCTCCAAGCCATACCAATTTTAGAAGGAGCTATTTTGCTGGACAGTTCCCCAGTGACCCTACACAGAGAGCAAAAACAAGTTGGAAAAGGCACTTTCTGCTGTTCTGAAGGAGGAAAAAAGCTCTTAAGGGTTGTTTTTTGGTGTGTGTCTAATGCACTAATATGGGAAGGAAAAAGGAAAAATTCAGCACAAAAGCCAAATGCAAAAGTATCCTACAGTGCAGCCCATAATCACCCTATCTTGTTATAGCCTGGTAGGGACAAAGCTGAGCAACTGCAACTTTTTGCCTATGCATTCAAATGTCAAACAATTCAATCCACTGGGAAGAATTCTGATAAGTGCATCCTTGGGGGGGAGGGGTCTACTTCCAGATGTATTTAAATTGATTTGCAAATTGAGCATGTCCCTTGTGATCCTGACTTCAGGTTGGCTAAATGTGAGTGATATTCATTAAAGCAAACCAAATAATGAAAAATATCAAGGACCTTGTTCCTGAAAGGTGCTGAGTATTCTGGTCCCAGTGCAACAAAGCCCTTAGATTCCTGTGTTTGTGTAACCCTTCTGCCATATGTTGCTGCCAGAAGCCAGGGCTACTTCTAACTCCCTCTTAAGATTAACAAACATCATTAATTTGAACTTCCTCCCAGAAACCCAGGAAAACTAAGCACTTTTCCTATGCACCCTTAATAGGCAATTCTTCCCCACTTTCCAGCAATGAATCTGTGCATGAAGTAAGAAAAAAAGCTTATCTGGGAAAAGAAAACACAGCCTGGACTTGGAAAAACACAGGAACAGCATAGCTATATGAAAAATAGATAAAAGACTCCTTCACAGCTCTTTGGCAATTATCTGATAACTTTACACACTGGCTTGACTGTGTAACAGGGAACCCCTTCTCTCTGTTACTTGGAGGAAGTAAGAACAGGATGGTTAGCACAAACAGCCTGCAAGGAGCACCATTAAGTGTGCTATAAGACCTTGACTGCTGAATTATTTGCAGTACCTGGGCCTTATTAACAGCAAGCCACATCAAGTGATTTGAAGGGGAGGAGAAAAGGCCATAAAAGCCTAAACCTGGAGGCCAAGGCTTAGACTGGTCCAGGTCCTTACAGCAGAAGGAGCTCTGCAGGAGCATCACAGGGAGATAAGTTGTATATTTTGGTTCTGTTGCTGTTTGTGGTTTGGGATTTGTGTTATACTGTGAGATTGGGGGTTGCTTAAAGGGGAGGAGGAAGCAGGCCATGACGGGAGGAAGTTATTACAGTGGGTGCTAGGTAAACGCCCTATGAGGCAAGGGGCTGTGTTTTAAGGGTGCAGTGCAGTTAGGTGGGGCCAGGGATCCAGCATGGAGAGAAACAGTGATGGAGACCAGAGATGCATGCTGTTATCCTGAGCTATTGGCTTGGACCCTGGCATATATAGCCTAGGCTGTTGCCTGGAGCTCTGGGACAGTGCCTAGTCCCAGAGGAGAGCCTAGAAGGGTGTATCTCCTAAAGAGTGGCCTGACTGGGAAGGGTGAGAGAGGGCCTGGATGTGTAAGTGCCCCAGAAGGCAGCCAATGTGGGACTAGTAAGACAAGGGGGGGGTCAGACTCGATGATCTATTGAGGTCCCTTCCAACCCTAACATCTATGAATCTAAGGAGGTCTACAGGGAAAAACACCCCCAAAAGTGGCACAAGTAGGGTTGAGGGTGAGAAGCTGATATCTGAACAACATGTCTGGAATTAGAGGAGGTCACAGGTGAAGTGCCTGGGAGATTCCCTCTATTGTGAGTGGCTAAGGCCCAGACAGAGCTGTGACAGGGCCTTAGACCTGGTAAGCAGGTAGGGGCTAAAGCCTCAGGCAGGGGTCAGCAATGTTTTTGGGCCAAGTGCCAAAAAAAGCCACAACCAGGACTTTAAAGATGTTGACATGCCAGGGGTGGACAGCAGGGGAGCTGCAAGGGGCCCAATCCTTGCCATGGCAGCACAGCCTTCCCTGCCATGCAGCCGCTGCCAGAAGTGAGCCGGGCTAGGGCTCCAGATCCCTACCTGCTCTGGGCATGCCCCTGCCACCCACCACAGAGCTCAGGCTGCTTACAGCAAGCAGCTGCACTAGGGTCGAGAGCCCTGGCCCGGCTCACTGCAAGTAGCAGCTGTATGCACACCTTGGGGAGCATGGCAGGGAAGAGGCCAGGGGAAGTGCAACAAACCTCAACTAACCTGGAGCTTCCACCCACCCTGCCCTTGCCCCTTGCAGCCTGATACTCTGTTGCACCACTTCACTGACCTGGGTGCACCTTCTGGGCTGTGCACAAGGTGAGGATAAGCCCTGAGGCACAGAGGTGTTACAGCCCTGAGCCTGCCCAGGTGGACTGAGGGCAGCCAGTCCTTCCACTGGGGCTGTGGCCGGCAAGAGGCAGCAGCCACTCCTACCTCCCGCTGAAAGGGATCCCAAGGGATGCACTGCTCCTGCCCCGTCCTGCTCACCTGTGCTGTGCAGCCCCACCAACCCAATGCAATGACATGTGGCACATCCAATTCTATGACCCATCCACCCAAGGCAATGCAACCAAACATACTACACTCCTTGCAGATGCCCAAATCCTCCAGCTCCATGCTGTCCTCCTGTGCACATGCTGCTGCTCAGCCCCTTCCCAGCCATGTGCGCCAAGGCGTGTGCATAGCTGATACCACCATGGAGCCCAGCTGGAGCTCTGGATCCCAGTGCAGCTGTTGGCAGCCTCCTGGCTGCCTACCACACATAGTCCGGGCTCTGGGTAGCTGCAGCAGGCATCCAAGAGGCTGCAAACAGCTGCACTGGGCTCTGTAGCCCCAGTCAAACTCCTTGGTGGTGGTGGTGGCGGCTGCACACATGCCTTGGGGTGCATGGCAGGAGAGGCATCAGGGTTGTTTGCTGCCCCAGGCCCCTTCCCAGCTGTGTGCCCCAAGGCTCACGTGCAGCTGTTTCCAGCCTCCCAGCATCCTGCCACAGCCAGCCCAGGCTCTGGGCAGCTGCTGCCTGCTGCAGAGCCCACGCTGCTTGCAGCAGGGCTTGTAGCCTCCTGGCCACCTGCTGCAAGCAGCCTGGGCTTCATGCCCAGCAGCAGTTACCCAGGGCCCAAGCCGGCTGTCGTGTGCAGAGTAAAATGGCCTCACATGCCAAGACCCCTGGCCTAGGGAGAGGGGGAAAAGCCTAGAAGGTCCACGAGACCCAGATCGGAGCAAGCCTAGGCCAGATGAGAGCAAGAGAGCCCCACTTCAGTTATGGTGGGAGGATAGGCTGACTGACTCCCTAATAATGAGTAGGGTGAGGCAAGATGCTGAAAGCCAAACTCTGGGTCTCTGAAGGCAGCTTCCTGAATCTTATCAACTTTGACATCAAGATGTGGCAGGTGAGAGCGTGAGGTCAGGTTGGGGAAGCCAGCGTGGGAGAACAAGCATTGTTTGGCCCTCTAGGGGTGCTGTAGCTATCCCTGGAGGCAGAACCTGTTACAGACATGCAAATATACCTCTCTCTCTCCTCAGTTGCCCATTCTCCACCGATTACATCCTGCTGTTTCATGTCCGTGGACAAAGTGGTGTAGTCCAAGGATCTTGAGATTGTCTTCTGTGAGTCTATTATCTGTTCCCATCATGAGACTCCCGTACTTAAACCAGGGTAACAGGGGAGTCTGATCCCTTTAAGGTCTATTGGGCTTGTAGGCAACCAACCCTTGTTCCAAGACACAGCTTCTTGAAGGAAACAGGTGTCTGAGGGAGCAGCAGATAGGGTGGGAAATGGCATCCAGGTGTTAATCAGGTTAAGCCTTCTGAACATAACACTACCCAGTTGTTAGGCAACCATGGGGCTGATAAAAAGGCTTGTAAAGGAGACGGCAGGAGAAGATGTGCTCCAACTGGAACCCTCAAACCAAGGGATGAAATGTGAGTCCTAGGACACAGGGGATCCCTGCTGAGAGAGGCTGAAATCTGGATGCTGGTGAGCATGTTTGAATTGGTGCAAAGAGAGCTGTGGAGTCCCTTAACCAATGGGGAAGGACTTGTGAATCCAGCAACTAGGGCAAGAGGAGGCACATGTGGAGGATTTGTCAGAGAGGCCAGGGCTGTAGTGAGTGAGCAAGGTAAGCTAAGCTCCCTGGCATGGGCAAATTGGGAGGCTGACTACTAATGAAGCCCCAAGAATGAGAGTATTACTTTAAATACTCTGGCCTGTGCAAGCACCTACTCTGGATTCCTTTGAGTCAATTGGATGTTTATCTTGCTGGGATCCTGTGACCCCAGCTGACTTCCTGCCCCTGGGGCAGGGGGCTGGACTCGATGATCTTCCAAGGTCTCTTCCAGCCCTAATGTCTATGAAATCTAAGCAAGCAAAATAAATTGGATGGATCTAAAAGCAGGAGGCCTGCAGAGAGGCCCTTCCCCTAAACATATTCTAAAACCTATTTAGATCTGGGGAGGATCAGAGGAATGATAAGGAAGAGGGTGAGGTAGTACCATGCTTAAAAGCAGTCTATGTTATCATACATTTTGTAGGAGTCAGATTGGTACATTTAAATTCACATACATGACTTAATTCATATATAAAAACTGTTTCCAGCTCAGGGAACCACCACGCTTCCAGTGCACAAGCTTGTCAAATGCAGCACATGATCAAAACTAGGTGGCCTGCAGATCTGGAGATAAGAGGGAACTCAAGGTCTCTCCTAGTGGGTAAGTTGAGAACATTTCTTCTCCCAGCCCTTTGAGGTGGTGGTGCTAGCAGAGCTGGTAGTTCTGCTGCAGTGTGTCATTTTTTTCTGGTACTGAATCTCTGGCCTAGCATTTTCTGGTACTGAATCTCTGGCTTACCTCTTAATCTGACAGACTGGAGCAGTACAACATGTGGCCACACAGATTCATATATGCAGATTATGACTAATATTTAAATCTTTACCCTTTGTGCAGTTCTGCTAACATCCCTCAAAAGCTGTTTAATAGCAATCCAATCCAATGCTATTACCAAGTCACCGCAATAATTCCAGGTATGGCAAAATTTAGTCATTAATTAATTTTACCCTTACTAAAAAGCAATGGCAAAAAATGTTTTTGTTATTATTAGCTTCTCTTCTGTGTGTGTACTCACTGTTTTATGCCTTCATAAAAAGGTAATGGTTGGTCCATGCCAGTATGCAGCTGTGGGAATAGTCAGACAGTCACAAGTGCATTTGTATACACCAGACCAGTCTGTTTTTTTGTGGTGGTAGTGATGGTGCCGGTGTTAGTCTGGGGGCAGGCTGAGGATTTATTTTTCTTTAAGATTACAATTCTTGGAGGTTCTTCTGTCTATCAGAACCCCATTAGCAACACTTGCTATGTGATGAGCAGATATAAATCACCCCCTTGCCATGGAGAAGGACAGTGATATTACATTGTCTCCTCTTCCATGGGCATAGGTGTGGACACATGCAACAACTGAACTGTCCCCAAATGTCACTGATGTGACCCCATGACCAATGTGAACCAATGTACAGTGTCCTAATGTTCCACATTAAACAGTCACTTAAGTGTTGAAGTGCAGTGGCTATGACACCAGATGGTGGGACTGATCGCCCAGGCCAGCATACCTCACAGTGGGTGAGCGGAGGGAGAGAGTGCTTTCACCCATGCTCTAAAGTTTTGGGGGAAGGTTGAGACCTGTCATTGGTGGCATTTTTCACTTGCCTACTTTTTCCTTCTCTCCTAAACTTGACTTCAATAAAATTCAGTAGCTGCACTTGACCAAATTCTGCAGTGCGCTTGCCTGACTTGGAATGGCTGGGAGGTGAGGGGAGTCATTAAACCCATGTTTCTGGGCTCCCAGGAGCTTGGGGAGTGTGATGAGGGGTTGTGGTCAAATAGAGAGTGGGGACACAGCTGGTTGTTAGAAAGAAAGCTTTTACTGAGGAGGCAGCTCAAGGGCACTCATTCTTAAGACGTGCCAACCAAAGAGGCAGTAGTGTTCTGGTTGTGTACCAGAGCAGACAGTTACAACAGCGGTGGGAGGATGAAAAGTGATGCAGTATGAGATGCCTGGATGACTGACCAGACCTCTGTTACTGAACACTTGGCTTACACATACAACATTGACCTGGTTCACAGTGACCAAGATTTTTTAAAAAACCAAACACACACATGTAGCAGGCTTACCTTTCAGAGCTTGGGTTGACTCCCAGGCTTGAGATCCTGCTGTTTTTGCTTGGTGGCTCAGGTCCACAACCCCCCAGCATGAGGCTGGGAGCTCAGTGCAGGAGGTGCTGCATCGAGGGTAAGAGACCCTGAGAGCTGCTCAGGGTGGCTTGGGACAGCAGCTCAGTGCAGACGACACTGCCCAGAGGGCCCAGGAGCAGACCAAGCCCCAGTGCTGCACAAGGCTGTCTGGGCCCGCAACTCCTAGCACAAGGCAAAGCCCCCACTACACGCAGCAGTGCATGTGACGCTAAGCTAGGCCGGCAGCAGGACATCCTGGCAGGGAACAGAGCTTGACTTGGAGAACGGGAGACAACCCTCCGGGACTGTGGAGTAGTAAGTTACCCTGGGTCCCAACAGGAGCAGGGGGTTGGACTAGATGACCTCCTGAAGTTCTTGTCACAGGGCACTAAGGTGCCTGCTCCTTTAAGCGCAGAAACTGCCTAGGGAGAGGGCCCTAAGAGCCAGACAGAAGCCCATAGGTGCAGGTTACTATGGCAACAGGCTAACGAGTAAATTAGCCTGCACCTGCACCTCCACCCAGTCAGCTGACCGGAAGAGGCAAGGTCCTGAGTATATATATATATATATATATATAAACCCCAGGGCTGGGACTAGAGGCTTAGTTCTCTGTCAGCAACCAAGGGGCAAGGAGCTCTCAGAGAGGAAGTTCACCAGAGAGGTTTGACTGCCTGTTCTACTTCTGAGTAGGATTCAGGGGCTCCAGGAGCTTGCCAGATACCCTGGCCTACAAGGCACGTAGTGCTGGGGGAAGTTTGACTTTTTTAAAGGGACAGAGCACACCCTGAGCTCCTTGTATTATGTTATAGCCCAGGGCTTCATATTTTAGTTGCTGTTTATATACCGGTGGATCAGGCTAAGGCTATTGGGGAAGAAGGAGGCCTCATTGGGGGCCCACTATGGTGTGGGAACCCCAGCACCAGTGTGAGGCACAGTGACAATGGGCTGCGGAGAGCCTGGTGAAGTCTCTCCTGGGGCCTCGCTATAGCGAGGCCTCTTGTCTATGTTTAAATACCATCTGCGAGGCATGGTGAAGGAGGCTTGGTAAAGGGGGCATGGTAAAGGGGCAGTTTTGGAGCCACGCATCTAACCCACAAGGCTGAGGGTATCCCGTGAGGCATCCTTTTTGAGTGGGACCCAAAAAGGGGTCCAAGAACCCATGGGCTTCAGCGGGGTCCAGCAGGACTGTGTCCAGACAAAAAAAATTGAAAGCCGCCTCCCTATATTATAATTACCAGCAAGACATGGCAGGTGAGGAAAAGGGTGTCCGTTGGGCAAGACTGGCACAGTCATGGATCCCTAGGGGTATCACAGCCATCCCTGGGGGCCCCACACCATGACAGTCCCTTCCAACCCTAACGTTCTGTGATAGTTCTGGATGTGGCCATACCCAAAGATTTGAAGCCACTAACTGTTTGCTTGTATTGAGTCATGAAGTATGTGCTAGCTTTAAACAAGCAGTAAAGTAACCTAGTGAGACCACTTGCCCCCTCTTCACACACACCCTCTTCCCCCCCCCTCCACCGCCCCCGGCCAGGTACCTTGTTAAACCAGGCTTTAAAGCAACATGGATTCAAATTGTCATGCCAAAACCAAACTTTTGAAGGGTGCCAATGGTCCAAAAGTAACAGTAGTGAACCATAATGATGAATATGAAAGCAGCCTTGAAACTTAGAGAAGGGTCTTGGAACTTAGGTGGTACAGAGAAGGGACACGGGCACTCGTAGGCAAGTACAGAGAGCCAAAAAGTTCAAGGCTGAATTGATTCCATCTTTCCAGATTAGTCTAAGCTGCATAGATTGAATGGATAAGCAAGTGAACAGACAGTTAGCGTGTCCATGCAGGGTACCGCCTAAACCCCTTGGTTCTTGTCTGCCACGACTTTGATCTTATTAAAGACAATAGGGAGGGAAGATCGTCCCCTGGTTCGTCCCCGCAGAAGGACCACGCTTGGTCAAACTGCAATCGAGGTGCTTTATTACTCTGTCTCTTACAGGAAAGCCCAGAGGGGGCAGCAGTTTGTCAGAGTTGTCTCTGGGATCCCCCCTGTGCTCTGCAGGGGATCCCCACCAACTTAATTGGAACAGTAAGTGTTGGAGTGTCTCAATTCACCGCCACTGATTATCTTGTTAGCGGCTTGTTATGGGCAATGCCCAGTCTTTCCTGATGCGCTTGGTGCTGGCATGCGGAGCCGGGCATTTACCCGCTCTCTATCCCAACTCCCCTTTTCCTTCCAGTTTGGGGTGTTGGGTCCCTGTCTCTTCAGGGGCTGGGCGGGTGGCCTCCACCCCCCTTTGGCTCCCGAGTTGCTTTGCTGCATCCCGGTGCAAAGCCGCGGCTTTTCCCACGCTGCGGCTCCGTTCTCCTCTGACTCACCGCCACTACCATGGGCTCCAAGTATGTAGCAAGGATGGGCTTACAGTTCCTGTGTTCTGCCATTGCTTGGCCTGCGTCAATCCTTCCTCCGGATCCTTCTTAGCAAGGGTCCTTAGCGGTGCCTCTTTCTCTCGTGGTGCCCGAAGGCCCCTTCATCAGACCTCTTCCTCCTCGTATCCCTATGTGCCGAGTCCCATTGGCTCCCAGCAGGCATGGGACGTCCCCTCCCCTGTCGGGCAATAATCACTTCCAGCTGCCAAAATCTCCCAAGTAACAGGGTTTCAGTCGGGACCCTGTTACACAGACGTTCACTTTTTTGATTCTGGAAATGTAGCCACGTGTCTTCAGTGGCCGAGGCCAGAAGCCAGGGACCAGTACAGCATGCCTCCCTGCTGGGGTGGAGCAGACAGTTTGTACCAAGACTAGCCTGCCCACCTTGCAAAGCATCCTGGGATGCTGGAGGGGATCTGGGACAAACTCAATAAACCAATTTAAACTAAATCCAGTTAAGTCTGATGCTACATCCATTCAGGCTTATTTTAAACTGGTTTTGGCCATTTTGAGAGTGGTTTATATTCACTGAATTTCTGTTGTGTTACAGATTTGAACTGGTTCCCAATCACTTGTATCAGTTTCTGTAATGTCTGTCCCTAGTCCTAGTATCTGAAACGAGGACAGAGGTGGATTAAGGTGCACTGTGGCCCCAGGGAAGCACAAAATTGGAGCTGCCCCCCACCTCTTCCTCCCCATGGGAGCTGGGCTGCAGAGAAGAAAGGGGCCCCTTCCCCTCCTAATGCTGGTGTATCCCAGGGAAGGAAGTATGAAGCCCTATCTTTGGCACCAAGTTTAAAACTGTGGTTTTCACTTCCCTGCTGATGAGGATCCCAGGGCCCTGAATTGGTAGGGACCCCTGGGCTTGTGCCCAGCTGGTCCATGCATTAATCCGCCTATGAACAAGGATATGGACAGAAGGTAGAGCAGGGTGCCAACTTACGGGCTAACTTGTTCAGAGAGGTGCCACCCTTTCCTGCCTTCTGCTTAACTTCAGACTACCACAGCTACTTAACTCTCTCTAAAGATATAGGCAGATAAGTTATTAGAGATAGGGAAGAGTGAAAGAGTGGTGTTTGGAATCTGGAAGGAAAAGTGTGTTTGTCTTGAAATGGAGAGATACAAGGATCAACCTAATAGCTGAAAGCATGCCTAATGAGACAGACAGAGAAATAAGCCATTAGCTAAAGGGTAGAGCAAGAACACTGGAAGCGAAAAAGTGTGTGATAAATAGCACAGGAAATACAGAGGATGTGCTCACAGGGACAGAGATAAAAGGCCTAGAGAGAAAAAGTAAGCTAAAGGGATTGCCAAAGTTTCCAGCCCCCAGCAATTTATCCAGAAAACAGAACTGTAAATCGGAGCTTATT